GATGGCAAAATATATTTAATGCGTCTTCGGCGCCTGGGCCATTGTCGTCGACTTTTGCGAGAGGACAAGCAGCAGTAAGAGGCATAGGCTCGTCTTATCCGATTCCCAAGCTCGAAGGCTTAATTCTTATCGCTATCTTTAACGTGGCGCTATACGTGCACTGCTACCCGTGTTACCGCCGCGTTCTCATGACATGGCATCCCGTGTATAATTATATTTGGCTTGTAACAACAAATGAGAGAGAGAGAGAGAGAGAGAGAGAGAGAGAGAGAGCAAGATGGAAAGAAACGGAATAAATTTTCCAAGGCTCAGGCACCGCTGTAGCCGTTGCCGTCGCCTCGATCGTTTACAATATGATAGAGACTCGAACCGCCGAACGGTAGTCGCGGAATTTTGCGGGCGCCACTCTTGATTCTACCTTGCAATCATTTTGCAAACGATGCTCTTTATGCCCATTGTGTATGCATACAGCACACGTACATGTGCCAGATGAGGTAGAATAGAATGGGGAGGACCGCATTACTAACCGACACGTGTAAAATTCGTACCCGATTAATAGTTGATAGGTCGGTTTGATGTATCTATGTATCCTATATTCACCTCCCCGCTCCCCGCCCCCGTCGTCATTCCGACACTCGGTGTGTAATTAAGTTATCATCGCGATATTGTGTAAATTTACACAAATGTTGTTCGTGTGTAGCTTAACCTAAATTTTTTATATTTCATAATAAACGTCCAACATGCTCCTTCGTAATTTTCTAAGCCTTTTTAAAATTACATTATGAATATAATATAGTTTTCATAAACACCAAATGCAAGGTCGTATTCTAAGCCTCGTTGTTTGAAGAAAGTCATTTCGTTGTTAAATATGTTAAAACGCGGTAAATTTTCAAGAATACATTTACGTGTGTATGTTAAGGCTGATAAGCCATCAGCTATCTCAAATATTTACTTTTTATTTAATTGAAACGTAATACGTATTTAGGTAGTTCTCTATCAAATATTTTGCATGAGAAGTGAGTTAATATTCATTGGCTCGTTCCTGGCTGGCTACATTTTCCGTATGCGAAATAATAAATCATCTTGCTATTCTATATAATTCTAGACAACAAATTTCTCTCTCTCCCTCCCTCTCTCCTTCTCTACATAAAACTTAAAATAAATTGAAAACAAAAAATTATACGACCTCTAAAAAATTTGCTAAAGGGGGAATGAATGTAAAATAGTATCGAATGAATAAATGCATATAGCTGTAGAAATGCTTGATTTACATTCAAGCGCAAGGAAATAATCAAAAGGAATATAAGGTTATTCCAGTTTTGTGCTTTTGCGTTATCGAATTTGCGATAATACCAACTGACATCACCAACCAACATGACTGCGTACAGATGTATTCCTCCCCTCCCCTCTTGCTCCCTCTCTCTCTCTCTCTCTCTCTCTCTCTCTCTCTCTCTCTCTCGCCGTTTTCGTTCATTCTACCTTCAAAGAAATACCTTAATGCTTAATCAATCGAAAACAGACGACAAAAGGCGAAAAATTTAGCTATAAAAGAAAAATGGAAATAAAAATCATTGGCAAGTGACTGCTAGATTGGTGGAAAGGAATGTCTGCAAATTCGGTAAGTTTTTTACGAAGTGTATTTCGTCTTTTTTATTTTACATATTCATATCCCGTGTTTCTCAACTTTCTCTGCATATTACAAGTTATAGGAACAGTTTTCATCTTGCAAAGAAGTAAACTAGAGCTTGTTGCAAAGACTGACTTTCACAATTCTGGCGAGCAGAGGAAACCTGGACACTTTATCGTTTTGCCTCTTAAAATTCTACTAAAACCTGCATAGCAGCCGCATCGGGTTGGCCGTAAAAATTGTGCTTTACTAACACTATTACCTTTTCAGGTTAAATATAATATAAGACCATTTAGGCGCGTGTGCGCTTGCATCTGCGTCTGTGTCTGCGCCTGCGCTTGCGCGAAACAAAAAATACACGAAAAATAACAAGATTAGTTTACCTCTGCGTATCTCGTTCGATTTATTTTGAATTCCCTCGCAATAAACAACGCGAAATAATTTCAAAGATTAGAATTTGACTCGTAACAGGTAGCATATAAATTGACGTTAAACACAGAAAACGTTTGGACTGTACTTTCTAAACAAGTACTTGTGAAAAGGCATTTTTTTTTGTTTTTTTTTTTTTTGTTTTTGTTTTTTTATTTTTAAAGAAAAGCCTGCTTACAAAAGACCGATTTAATTTTACAATTCATATAATAACTATAAATGGTAGCATACGAGGATCTGAAAATTCAAGTCGACATGCAATCACCTAAAACGCCGAGGAAAATAAAAGGAAATGATCGATTAGCAAGGCGTCTGAGAAGTGACGTTCTCACTCAACGCGTCGAGTGTTTTTGCTCTCGCATGTACCGCAAAGGCATGAAGACCACATTTTCGCGTGCGCGTTAAATGCGAGCCTAGGACTCTTGTATACATAAATCGGCAAAGAATGCGATGTCGAGCGACAACGACGACGAAATGGAACGTTTTTAAAAGACTGCCAGATCGTTTTGTGCGCGGCATGGGGCCACGTGGCTCGAATTACCTTCGTGTCCTTGGATAAAGGTTTGGAACCTCCGAGCGCGGTCGTAGAGTCGCTCAATATTGGGGCCCGAAAAACGTGAGCTCCGGTGGCCTGACGCCGCTCTCTGCGAGTCTTCTGCCTCGTTGAGCACTGGCCCGAGCGACGACGCCATGTTCCATTCTCCACGGGATTTCTTTGCTCTCTCGCGTGGCCAAGCCGATTGATATGCCACGAAATTTGCCCACGATATAGGCTCCCCCTTATTCCTTGACGCGCGCGGTCCCAAGCATAATATCCTGGGAAGTGAGCGCGATTTTGAAAAGTCATTTCTCGCGAAGCTACGATTACTCGGCACCGCGCATTCCCCAACCATAGTGCTCTCGTACCTACGGTCCCATTTTATTCGTATAAAGCTCAACCAAGCCCAGCCTGTGTATGGGTACGCTTTTAATTTTACGCCCACCCGCATCCCGGCATTGCCGCCTTCTCCCGTCGACCTCGCACCTCAATTATAATCAGTGACACGAATTTGCTTGACGGAGCTGCAGTTTCAAGCGGGGGAGCCGCTAGTCGGCCCAAACTTTATACCCGCAAAAAGACGTACTTTTTTCTAATTTCGTAAGAGCGAGACCCCAAGAGGATAAAGATTGATTTGGGACTTTTAACAAGCGTTACGATGGTTACCGCGTCCTTCCAGCCGACGTCGGATTCCAAAAGCGAGCCGTCGAAGCATTCTTGCACGAAAGTCAGGCCCCGCTAGTGTGGCGACGCATGACAGGAGGCTGGGAATGTGCCGGGCTGGGGTTTTTGATGAGTATCTGCCTCCTCCTCCTCCTCCTCCTCCTCCTCCTCCTCCTCCTCCTCCTCCTCCTTCTCCTCTACCGAACCACCTTCCACTGCCTTTTGCAACGTCTATTTCACTGGAGCGAGCGAGATTTGTGATTTAATAATAGTAGCGCTTACAAAACAGCGATGTCCCATTGGCTCGAGTCCTTTTTATCTCGACGTTCCTTTGGATTAAGCCTCGTTTTGCACACTAATTCATACGCGTGAAAATCTCGCGCGAAATTCATTTCCCGGGATTTTTAATTAAAGTATATCCCAATGGACAGACGTTACTTCTTCGGCGTTGCGGATTACGAATCGAATTATATTTTTAATTTAGCTAATGACGTTGACGAAACTTGGCTTTCCAAGCAAGTGCTCCAAATGTCGATTTTCATTTTCTTCACGTTTCGGCTCAATATGCGCAAGCATGTGTACAGTTGTACGTGCATTGGAAACTTTGCTAAACTACGTTAGATATAACTCGACCGGCGACTGTGAAGCTACAATTGTTATTCATAGAATTACGTGACACTCGCTTGTTCTCTTTCATTAATGTTATATTATTTTATGTATTGGCAATGAAAATCGTCTGTAATCATCGACAAACATTTGTAAATTAATAGCACAAGAATTTGAGACTAATTGAAATTTTTGATAATTTATAATCGCAGTATTAAATCAAGTTTCATATTGCACCAGTCGATGCATCATCGTCTTGCGTCTAACTTAATAGTCCCAGCGATTTAAGAAAGTGCACGTATGAGAAAAAAATTGTTTGTTAGCTAATTGGAAGGTATTTATAAATAAGCACAGTGGAGAATGCATTTGATAAATTGGACCCATGGTTTTACAATTTATTTCATTTTAAGATCAATAGACAAGAAGCCAATAATATAATATAAGTGAGCAGCGTATGAATTATTAAAAATTCAGATGTTATATTTAAATTAAAATCGCTCACGATGTTATTTGCTAAACTATGTGTGTAACGAGGCACGAATCAACATATCCGCTCATCTTTTACGCAGAGCCTCCTATATAATTAATTTTGATAAAACATATATTTCTATTCCAAAGCAATTAAATTAATAAAAGATGAGCAACCATTTCTAAATCGTTTGATGCAAACAAATTCGTTTTTATGGTTTTCAGACTTGTAGTAAGCAACCAAGCTGCCTCTCGCGTTAACAGATCCATAATAACTTGCCCCTCGCGTTCATCTCTCCATCTCTCAACTTGCGTAAGCACACATTGTTTAATGCAATTACTCAGCAACAATTCGCATTATTGATTTTATATTGCTCTCTTGTAGAAGTTGCCGTACAGTTTCATGGACAGACGAGACTTCATACGCTTCGTATTTCAATTGCTGGAATACAAGCATATTGTTCGATAATTATATTTTATGCAGATATCGGTGACGCTTCTGCACGCAACCACCGCCTTTGGTCACCTGCGCTTAATCTTGCTACGACTAATTGATACTTGAGGACTCTTCCAAGTCTGCGATCGCGTACACCACAAAGGTGTCGCAAAAAATGAGCAAGGATTCGAGATATAGGGAAGAGGCTGCTAAATAGGATTTGGTATGCTCACCTGTTTCGAGAAGACGGCGATGTCCTCGTTAAAACTTTCGGATGAGCAGACGTCGCCACCTGCGACGCCGGGCTCACGTGGTGTGCATGTCGCTAGTTCACACTTCTCGAAGATTAGCGCAAGCAGTGGAAACAGGGGGTGCCTGCAATATATAATACCTTATATAATACCTTCGTTAATTATCACATTTTTTAATAGCCATATATATATATATATATATATATATATATATATATATATTTATATGCATTGATATTAATGTAAATGTAGAATACATTTTAATTTTGACCATTTATTTGCGTATCTCTGGTTGATATGTCTGACCTTTTTATAAACTCATAAAATATAATGTAAATTCATTTTTTAAGTCCTACCTTTTCATTTTCTGCTCGTGATGATCATCAGTCGATCAACCACATAGATGCGATTACAGGTTTTAAAACTTCATAAATTATTTTATATTTCGCGATGTACGAAATCTTAAGAAGAACATTACGTCAAACAATGCTGACACTAAAAATTATAAAACAGGCAGCAAGATCATCTATGTTTCATTCAATAAAGATCCGGCCCCCCCCCTCCTATAACGTACGCACACGCGCATACGCATACGCATGCCATTGTAAAAGAGAGGCACACTTAAGTAGTGGTGATATACATAGATGGGAGTGTCCGGGAACTTCTTCGCTTGGTCGTATTAATTTTTTGCCTCCCGTGAACTAGCGCGCATCGAAATTTGCATTTTAAGCAGCCTGTTGACGGATTTTTTTCCCGCCGGCCGTACTTTTGAGAACAGCCCCCACTTTTAGCCAGTGCTTAGGAGTACGCAATTAGGGTAAGAAAACAACGGGAGAAGTCGCAAGAAATTAAATTTGGTGTGAAGCGTTGAAACGGAAAGCGAACCAGAAGAACGAGTGGATTCCTCTTCTGGTGGCAGGTCGCGAAGTGGTGCCGCCGACGCCGCAGCCGCCGCTGCCGTCGTTCACGAGCAGCTCGTTCCGAGGCTCACCGATAGGTCGTTGAGCTTGGAGTTGCCGTCACCGCCGCCACTGACCGACAGCCCCCCAAACCCAACCTACCTGACGGCCGCCACCTCCAGCCTCCGCGTTGCGATGCCCACGATTTTCGGAGCCCCGCATTTACTGGATATTTTTATCGCTGGCCCAAAGATTTACTCCGAACACAGAAAGTCTCTTTAGTGGATAGGCCAAACTTCATTTAAAATTAACTATTTCCTCGCTTAGCTTACTAAGATGGCGGCAAAAACGGAACCACCTCTCAAATATTTATCTATATTAACAAACTGTGTAAATAAACTCCCAATCGAACATGAGTTTACTTATCTTCAAAAGCTTTGGCAAACGTTTATATAATGCTAAGTATTTATTTATCCTCCATTTGATTCAAATGTACAACAATTAGCGCTTTGATGTGTCATTTTGATGTTATTATTGCCAGTGATTTAATGATCAATTAAATATATTATTCATGAGAATTTTATAATTAAATGTGAAATCAATATGGCTATTAAATTGAATGGAAAGAATGCTTATGTAAATAGACGATAACTGTAATTATTTCATAAATTTCATTTTTAATTTTTAAAATAATCTTATAGCATATTTAAGGTACGAATAATAGTTATATATGCTTATATAATTTAATGAATGAGTTTTTTCAGGGCAATTATTATTGCATTTGAATAACTAAAAAGTTTGAATTTATGAATTCAAAGTTAATTAAATTAGAAACTGGAATAATAAGTATATTATGATTACGTAAAATTGCAAGAAATTCCCGTTAAAAGTTAATTAAATTACAAAACCTTCAAAAAGTTTGTTTCATAATGAATTTCAATCTCAGTACAAATGTTTTTCAATCAGTTAATATTTCTCGATACTATGTTATTAAACGCATATTATTTATATTCACATGAACTATAAATTCATATTCAGTGATTGAGACAGAGATCGATAGAGAGAGAGAGAGAGAGAGAGAGAGAGAGAGAGAGAGAAAGTTGTTCAGATTACTAGGTAGACTATCTTAGATATTGAGAAGAGTACTAACTAATGTAAATATTAAAAAAGTTTACAACTGAATAAATCACAAAATTATTTAAAGTTTATTTTGAAATGATATATATAATAAATATGCTTTTTTGGATAATGGATTTTTGCACATTACAGGAAACAGGTACCGAATATATGTATATAAATCATATTGCTCTGTGCTCACCCCTAAGAAATTTGAAGACGGCAAGACAAAAAATCGACCTTCGTATTAAAACAATGTATATGTCTGATATATAGAACATATCGTGTATAGGGCACATAAATTTTCGTAAAAAATTTGGATGGGAGGACCGGAGCAGGTCTCGGTAGTTGGATTGAAGACGAGGCTGCAGCACGAGTCGGTCGTCTATGTGTACGTGTGCACGTGCGTGCGTGCGTGCATGCGTTTGCGTATACATGGACAGCAGGCGCATGTGTAGAGCACTCTTCGCGTATGAAAGACTCATCACGCAAGCAAAGATGAAGAAGGATGAGTCGAGGATACGAATAGAGAGCGAGAGGGAGAGAGAGAGAGAGAGAGAGCTATGGTATGAGGTCGAATGAGTTCGTTCGGTAGCCAGAGCCGGGGGTCGAAGGTGTTCACATCATATCGGTGGACCTAAGAGAAGACTATCCTCCCAACACTGGCGGCTGCTGTTTAAAATGCCACGCGAAGATACTTCTTCTTGTTCTTCTTCTTTCTGTAGTGTATGCGCATGGTAGCGATGTGGAGGCTCGCGGCGTGGCGGACATAAAACGATTCGGAACGAATTTCGACAAATTGACGTAGTTGCAGCATTGGATATCGCCTACTCCCTGTTTCCCACTCTCCCGCTCTTATTCTGCAAAAAAGGTCCTCTCGCTCTCTTTACATCTGCGCGCGCGGCACCTCGGACCCTGAGACTCATTCCTCATTTCGAACACCATAGAGAAGATACTTTTCTCTTTCTCTCTCGTTTTTTCGCTCTTCCCTTCTCTCTAGATCTGCCGCTTCTTTGCGCGTTGCCGTTTTCGAGCTTCTATACAGTGGGTTGATTTTCTCGCGCTCAACATTGCATTTCTACTGTTTTAGAGCAGCAGACCGAGTCTCACGCACGGTCTTACCTGTGGCAGAAGCTAATGTATTAAATATTTCTCGATAACAATCGACATATCTAACGAGACAACTACTAGTCACATGTTTACTTCACTCGATTGACAATGTCTTTTCATTTTAGATCGTTTAATTTTTAATTTCTATTTCATTGAAATAATCATAAAAATTTGTATACGTATATTTAATTTGGAGAAATAATGACTGTATTACGATAAAAATTTTTCTTTATTTACCGATTTTCTTGCTTTTGATGGCATCCTGTTATCTTATGTCAATAACTTTTGGAAATACAGACAGTTATCAGTAACAAATACAATAATCTCTTTTAAATGATTTATAGCTTATGGATTTAATTTACAATTGACAAATTAATTTACACGCAGGTAGTAAAAATATAAACAATTGCGTTATTTGCGACTCGCGTTTATAAAATAACTTTAGTAATGATTTTAATTTTCATAATTTAATGTCGGATATTTAGATGCCAATGAAAAAATGAATACATTTCACAAAAGCTAAATAACGTGTAAACGTATTTCTCACATAGCTGTTGATTTTAACACTACCTTATTTTATAATATGATTTAACAAGTTCGAGGTTCAAGTGCTGAATACTAAGTCATAAAATCATCCGTCGCAATCCAATCAAGAAATCAATCGATATAAATGTTTTTATTACATCATTCCATTTTATTGCAAAAATAACTGGAAGAAAATATCGATAATACCTTGTTAATGAGAACACATGCCGTTTTACGATACCTGACATTCAATAATCAAACGACCGACTTTCTCATTTGTACTTGAAAAATTAATTTTCAAAAAGGTATAAAATAAAGAGAAAAAATAGCAGGCAAAAAAGAGACAAAATATACGTTTAGGTGAAAAACAATTCTCTTCGTTAAAAGTCACTGTCCGAACAATCAAAAACCAGAAATTTGAGAAGGTTACGCATCTGTTTCCTCTCTCTCTCTCTCTCTCTCTCTCTCTCTCTCTCTCTCTCTCTCTATCTCACTCGCCTCTTTCGTTCTGCCTGTCTGGTTCTTTTCATTCCTTTCAATGCCGTTTCGATGATCCTCGGTTTAAATCCATGTCAGCTATATCTTTAATTTTGAGTGTTATTGATTAGCACGAAAATTAATAAAGCGAGGAGATTCATCGTACACGCGATCTTCGGCTTGAGATATTGCGGGTGTATTCTTCTATTGCACTTCTATCAGGACAAGGTCGGTTTAAATGTTGACAAATGACTGGTGAAAGACTTATGCGTCGGCAATAACGAGCTTCGTTGCTCTGCAGTAATGATATGATATACGATTGCCTTGCTCAACATTGTTCGGTATATCTGCGGTTTTGCGGTTCGCGTTGCCCATCGGCGCCGCCACTCGTTTTATTTCCTGCTTGTGTAAGCGCTCGTAACATTTTTTCTCTGCGATCGAAGCCCAACGCATGTTTCTAATCATTCATATGCGGTGCGGTTGTGTCGAAGAGATTGTCAGTTGTCACGGTGTGTTTATTTAAGAGTAGAGGCCACTTTAAACTTGGCATTTAAGCATCTCGTATAAATCACAACAGTTCTTTTAGAAAATATATTGACTTTAAAATACTTATCATCAATTTTCAAACATCCATTTATTGTTGTTGATTCATCAGGGGATAGTGACACATTTCTCATCGATGCGCATTTTATTGCAAAATCTTAGGATAATAATAAAAATCTTGATGAGCTTATGATAGTAGGATAGTTTATTTTCTTAATGCAAGGCAATTGCATGTAAAACTACAAGATATCATCAGGTTAATTGATTCTATGAAGAAATAAATTTAAAATCAAGTTCTCTTCATTTTCTTAAGATCAATGAAAAATTTACAATTTTCTTTCTTAAATGTGTTAAAAAGAGACTTTGGAATGGTTGGTTATTGCATTGTGTAGGCTAAAGTGCGATCAATATAGCATATATTGATTGATCCAATGCGGCAGATGGGAGAAACAAATGGTAATGAATGAGTTAAATTTTAGCATTATCAACTGTAATTAGCCGATGAACGGTCATAGTAGTCATGTTAATTCGTACCAATGTGAATCCCTATCAGTTTTTAGAATCGGGTTTTATCTTTAGAAAGAATGTGCTTGGGCGTAGATATTGCGTGTTATCGCTAAGGGTAAGTGAAAAGCTCAATTTCCATGTATGCTTGGATTTGCTTCGTTAGTTGCTCAAATTTTTATTTTATTTCGATAGTTATGGCAGCGTTTCGCGCGCACGCAGTTCAAATTTTCAGCCGATCGGTTAGCAATTTATGTTTAATTAAAAACACGTATTTGTATCGGCAACTTTTGCCATTCGACAATTGATCGAACGAACGAAAAATTTAATTTAATTACATACAGTACTGCTGCTCGTACATCGTAGGGCAATTGCTTTTAGTCGATTTTTGTACGAGAAGGCAAAGAGGGTGTTTACTAAGCTCTGCGTGTACGCCAACTGTGCACATTTCTTTTCAGAAGACAACGAAATAGAAAAAATCTATTTTCCCCAAGGATTGTGTAAGGATTATATTTTTAATCTTTTATATCCCCATCGTCGTCGTCGCCGTCATCGCCACCGTCATCGTCGTCATCGATAATAACGATAGCCGTAACTTCGTTATTCAGCAACTGACAGTGATTTGCAATCCTCGTTTGCTTGCGTAAAAGTCTTATGCGCATCGTATCGTCCTCATGCTCTCTTACGTAAAATGGCTGGTGGATCTTCGCGCTTCGTAGCAAACTGACGCCGCAGTTTGATCGTAAATCTCATCCTTTGCAATGAAATGTAGGGAATATCAGAATAACAGATGCAGTTTTTCGATAAAATACAATTGAAGAATTGATTCAGTAAGCATAAATCGAAGATTATTTCGTTAAAAATAAAGTGCATCTTACATAATGGAAGAAATTTTTGAAAATATTTATAAGCTGCTTTTACATAGGCGAATTCAACTACAATAGAAGGATTTGCTAATCTGTCGGTTTACCGATCATACGAATAATTTTCTCTATCCATTAATTATTATTACGGGCATTTTGTTTAATCTGTTTTTATTTCTGATTAGAGTGATTCTTCTTTTGTTGTATTATTAAGCTATCATTACATTATCGATATAATATCTATGAATAAGAATTAAGGATGATAATATTAAATTAGGCTGAGTTCATTGATCCATCCTTTAATTATGGAAAATGTTATTCCCATAAAGTAACATATAATCAGGCATACACATTTTATTTGAATATTTTCAACCACTGTTATTTCACAATGTCAATAAAATTTTTAATCAAGTCAATTTAGACAAGAATTCAGAACTAACTTTGACTGCATAACACACGTTATATCCGAAAGGTAAATCTCATACGCGCAATCTCCTATACTATAAGAAAAAATTCAATAAAATTATAAAAGCTTCCGTTTCGTCGTAAAACGTCGACGACCCTCGAGAACAAAAAATAATAAATAAAATTAAATTCGAAATCACTAGGAAAACGTCTAGAACGCTTGCATAGGCAATTATCGGCAGCAAAGAGAAGCAGCGGCAACGGGTATAAGATAGATAGTGGCGTAGCTCGCTAGCAAGAGGTAAACAGGGGGAGGCCACCTAAATAATCCGGGCGTTCCAGGAAAGTACGAGTCCCCGCCCGGCCACACGACGAGTGGACAAATTACAGGGTTGGCCGCGAAATAATGAGCCCCCGTGTGCCAAGGATGCCAGAAATCGAGGCATCTCTCGCGCAACGATAAATCACCGAGGAGACGACCGGGGCCAGTGCGAGCGGCCACGCGCTTCTCGACTCCCCGGCGCACACCTAAAAGCCCCCATTCATGGACATTTGGCGCGAGCGAGAAACTCAAAGGCCGCGTGCGTGCCCCGCGAAATTGAAATCTCTTGCAAAATGCTTGTCTGTAATTAGATCATTTCTTTGGCCTTTTTTATTCGTAAGGCTGCTGCTGCTGCTGCTGCTGCTGCTGCTGCTGCTGATGATGATGATGATGATGTTGCTGCTGCTGAACTTGGAAATATTGTAAAATCGTCTATGTCATAGTACTCGACTTCCTTCCGTTCAAACGCATAATAATACCAATTTGTTTATTAATTTCACCGTACGCACCTCCAAGATGTTTAGATTAGATGTAAATATTCCCGACAATGGAACTGCTATTTTCTTAAGATTTAGTAACCATTTCAAATTTCCAATAGAATCAGGACTATTATCTATGATCATTAAATACCATCTCCAAGTATTGTTTATATAAAAAGGTCGACATTCACGTTAAGTTTGTCAACTAAAACCGCTATTAAAAATACGCTCCACAAATAATTTTGTGAAATTTAATTTGATGAATGTGGCAAGATAGCTGCCTATGTATATATATATATATATATATATATACTCAGCTATCTTGCCGCTAAAGAAACGTCTAAAATAATTTAGTACGAACCAAGTCATTTAGTTTGATCTTGTACGAAAAAAAATAATTTAAAGAAACAAATAATAAAAAATAAATAAATAAAAAAGAACAAAAAAATACAAAGAATTTTATAGCCTATAAAAATGACAAGCACAACCACAACGGCATTACGAATTATTCTAGCGACCGATCTTGTAAACATTGTAATGGAAGCTAGCGATTGATTTGTAGTAACCAATTAACTCAAAACAGCATTTCCAAGCGAAAAAGAGAAATATATTTATTACCGACGATAAAAAAAAATGTGTCGAGAGCTATAATTTGAAAACGTTTAATATAACGACTTTGAGTTCTTGTGGTCGTTAATTCATTTGAAATTACATTAAACGAGAAACTGCAGTCGCTAGCTTCGCACTGATCAGCCAATTCAAGATAATAATAATGCAAACTCACCCATAAATGGCGTCTTTGTCGCGCTTAACATGGGCCTCGGGTACGGCCGCTGCTGCAGCCGCTGCCGCGAGTACGTGGGGCGGCTGGGGCGGGGGCGGCGGATACTGGGGGTGACCCGGGCCCATGGTGCCCAAGTGCGGACTGTGGTGGAGGCCCGGGACGCTGCGGGCACTCCCATGTGGATCGTAGAGGCCCGCGCCGCCGCCACCCTCGAGGTAACCCCCGTGTAGCCCGCCGTCCTCGTACTGAAATGTCAATACAAGCGTTACAATTAATTACGAGACATGGATTTTTATCTTCGATGCCGCTACCCTTAGGTAATCGGCTTTCGGCAGCTTTTGGGATGAGAATTTTGAGCCTCTTCGTCTTTACAACAGAAGCTACAAATTAATTATATTTATCGAAAGTTTTGAAGTTGCGATAAATTTGACAGTTAAAATACGACGTAATGCTATGCTATATACGTGCTTAATTATTAGTTAGAATTTACGAGTCGATTAAGGAGCGATTCGGCGAAATTTTGTACAGCGATGAAAAATGAGAGCTCACGGAATTTCGGATTTAGAAATCGGGTGAAGGGTGATTTTGAAGCGCCTGACCTAACTTCCAATAGAAATATTGGCCATTGTGGAACTTGGGGTAGGGTGGGAGAAGTAGACGTCGATCGCAGCTGGCGATGCTAATGACACCGAGCGAGAGTCACCACGTGATCTAGAATGCAATGTGCGGCACGACGGCGATGGGCACGCTGCTGCACCCAGTCAATATCGTTGTTATTGCCGAGTTCAAGTTTATGTCGTCCAGACAGGACGTACGCGCCGGCGCACACCTTTTCTCTCGAGCGATACGTCAGACGTCGAGTTTAGCTCAAACTTCCGGATTATTGTCGTTGTACGTGATGTACCTTTAGTATTTTGAGTTTGATGCACCTTTAGTATTTGTGAGCGCCGCGCTTAATCGGGACATTGATAATGGCAATACGTACAATTTCGAGGGAACGTGTACTTATTTATTTTCCGGATTAATTACATTCGATTTGCATTTGTATTATTTTGACAGCAATTCTTCGTAATCCATTGAAATCTTCTTAGATAAAACAGTAATTGAAATATCGCACAACTCATTTTGAATATTGGATGATTATATTTAAAAAATGTAATTTTCAAACTCATTGATGATTATCTTACTAAGTCATGAGAATTTAATTGCCGGTGAAATTAAAAAAATTATTTTGAATTTTGTGCAGCGATTAACATCTTAAATAACTATTGAGTAAACAGACTGAAAAATAACATGTTCATAGCTACTAAGATTTATAATTACTAAATCACTTAGGAAGTCAAACATGATACTTAATTAAGTTGCAATCCATGTGACACAGCAAAATCTCTTTTAAATTAGTAATTTCAATGTGCCATTACCATTTCATGACTAGTGATTTAAAAGTTTGATTGAATTGCATTTCAAAAATTAAAATAATACAAGCTTAATACTTGTAAGTGTAATACACAAGTTTAATTTTGGTTGAAAAGTGCATTACGCTTTTAGCTTTTCGAACGCTATTATTTCACGTGACTGTTATGCACAGAATCAATTATATATATATATATATACACATATAATGATAAGTAAAGTGAAATTGTAAGCATTTTGTAATTATTGCTAATTCAAAGGAAATTGAGAACGGGATCTGCGTTGATATTTTTTACAAAGTTTTCTGAAGCGAATACCGTTAATATGAATAACATAAAATTAGAGACGATTCTTTATATTACGTGTCTCAAAAAATTTATAAATTCTGATCTGTGATGCACATTCGAATATACTGTCATTTTCAATTACTGGTTGAATCCAGAGCCATGCATGTTATTAATATCATACAAAACGAAGAAGAACCTGTATATACATACACATGTACTTTTAGTCGATAATTGTTACAAAAACAATGCACGTGATAAGACTATTCGTTGCTTTACCGTAACTATCTATAGTAGTTATAGAATACATGCAACATATATTGCATGAACATGAAAACGCGATAATATGTACAGCAATATTTTAGAATACCATTTAGTATGTACTACATATTTCTTTTTTTCGCGCTAATACAATTTATACAATTAAAAGAAAGTACATTAAAGCTTTACGTATCGCAGAAAACTTTTACAACAAAAACATTTAATTTTTTACACCGTTATCATTACATTGGAAATTAAATTAAAATTGTCGATTAACAAGTGATTTTTAAACATTGATAAACTATAATTTAATTTTTTAAACAAGCTATACTTTATGTATTGTTCAAATAAATGTGATTATATTTATGTGATACGGATTATGTGACCTGTAATAATCTTTCCACTTGTGGTTATGTGATTTTGTATTATTAATTAATTAAAAATTAAATAAAAATGTAACCTTTTTTTGCATTTATAGATATTGTAAGTGAATGTTATTTGGAAAAGTTAATAAATTACAAAATGAGCGTAACTGGATAAAAATTTGGATTATGCTTTTAATTAATATTCTTCGATAAATAATATAGTTTCAATCGAAAGTCTAGAGATCATAGATTCTCGCAGGTAGACGGATGCAAAAATTCGGTATACGAATTCATCTATTATGCCCTCTTCCCTCAGTACGAACGAGCCTACTATAAAGGATTCAGAGCAACTCATTAAGCAACCAATGCCAGAAAAATATTTGGAGCCTCTCTACGACAGAAACATACAACTTCTATCCAGACGTTTCTGGTACAAAGTACATCTGGCGATTGTAGTGGTAGCGGTCGGTTTATTGGTGTCGGTAGCGTTCCAAGGATGTTGATGAACACATCTACTGCCCATCGATGCATTTATATCGGCGTGTAGTCGTGCAGCAGGGCCGGCAAGATCGATCGATCTCCGCACTTCTTTCTTTCGCGAATGTATAACAAACATGGCTGAAAAAGCTGCACGATGTAACGCGCGCACGCGCACGCACACCACACACAGACGAGTATAATGAATCACCGTCGAATAGATGAGAGCTCGCGTATATGAAGATATCACCCATCTCGAAGGAATGATCTCGGGACAAAGCGAGAAGTACGCGAGTACTATTTACAATCGCTAATTACAGTGATGAGCCTCGCCATGGCTAATTTGTAAGCTTCGGAATCGGCAATCACGATTTATCGTTATAAAACGAAGTAACTGTTAACCTTGCTTGCCGTACGAGCGAAAGTGTATTCGGTACGATAGATCACCGGATCTACGTAGTCGTCAGAAGGGTCGGAAAAGCGGTTTATTCGCTCGTATGTTGTCTGCAATATCGTGAAAATTCGTGTCACGAGAACAAAATAAAATAAATAAATAAGCATATATGTATAAAGAATAAGAAATTGGAAGGAAAATTATAGAACGGATGCACCGAGTCACTTATTCTGACATACAATGTCTACTTATATTAGTTAGAAAATTGTTGTGAAAAAAGTCGCTGGTGGACTTATCGGTGCAATAAAACACGTTCGACGTCTTTCTCTTTCTCAGTACATGCGTGTGTGTGATGGCAGCCATTTACGGAGAAAACTTAGAAGTTGATATAAATGATTGAAATCATTATTATAAAATGGATATTTATAGGGCACATATTATTTTTCGTTAATATTATCGAAAATTATAATCATCATAAAAATATCAATTAGTTAAGCGAGTTGTTGCAAGAAGAAACTCATATAGCGATGATACAATCGCATCAATGGTTGTTGGAACAATGCGGTAAAAATGTAATTGATTGGGTATATGACATGGTATGCTTAAAAATTATGTATATATTTAGAAAAAAAGATTGAAATCCATTGCTACAAAATAACTTTTACACGACTATCAAGTTTTAACTGCCCCCCCCCTCCAACTCATTTTTTAGCCATTAATATAATAACTGAAATCTAATATAAGATTTTATATATACGTTACATTTGATTTTGGATACATTTACAGATTTCTCATATGTAAATTAGTATGTTCATAATAAATACTGGTTTATTGTTATGTAGATTTCACTGCTTTTCATTTTTTTCAAATCGAAGCGTGTTTATCAAAATAAGACATTCAAAGGCATGTGGAGTTTTCATTGTGAAAAATCTGAATGAGATCACGTTGTTTATTCAGAGTGTAAGTAATATCGAATTTAGGCAAATGCGAACACTTGTTTAAAATAATATTTCAGTTGTATAAAGTTTACTCGACCATTAAATTGAGAATACATTTTCTGATAACAAATAAGTCTTTCAAGATTATGTTGAATAGTTTGTTTAGTCTTCTAAAAAATCATCAAACCGTTATTGCTTTGTTTAAAGTTTTTGATTTTTTAAAACAAAATGTACCTTCCTTCCGCAATCTTGTTTACGGGTGTTTGATAATTGACACATAAGTAAATATTTATAAAATATTTTATCTATAAAGATCGTCTGAATTCATTATAATAGTTAAACAGGAGAGGAAAAAAAGTATTCAATACACTTCAAATACAATAAATAGATGATTTTTTCATGCATCACAAGTTTTGAAATATCAATTTTAATGCTTTTAATATTTTAGAATCTATGTTACTATTTTTTCAATTTTTTTGTTTTTAACAGCATATTAAATTCTTTTATTTTTTTAAGTATTAAGCAGTTTATAAAATAATTTAAATAACGTGGTGACCGAACAATTAAAGTATTCAAATATTCAATTTGTATATTAAAATAAATTAACAAATCAATAATTATTAATAAATAACTTAATATATTGAGTTTATAATATAATATTTAATAATTAATAAAATTTCGTGGATACAATTTATATTATTATGATGTAATGTTTATGGCGTAATGAATTTCAGATTACTCCAATTACTTTATATTTATATATTTCATAAAAAAATTTACTTTATCAATCCATTCTATTTTAATAAATAAAAAAAAACAGTCCTTTGTCGCATTATCAATATTTTAATGCGATGATTAATAAAATGACAAGATTAAAATACATTAAGCGGCTAAATAAATTGAAAATAATTTTAGCACATTAACAATGCTTATTAAATTATATTTAATAATTAATAAGCCCGATTAAAAAGTAAATAAAATCTTTGTTAGATAAAAAAAGTATCGAAAGTAATGAAATTCTGCATTTTGTTTGCATTAAATAACATACTAAGTTTAAACGATTCAGAATCTAAACAATATTAGGACGGTATTATCAGTTAAAATAATTAAAAC